CAATTAATTGCCTCTAAGTTTCGTGCCGAATGGCGTTCTGTACAAAATATTATTTATCGCACAAAGCGCTACACAAGTGTTTTACACAACGTCGATAAACAGCTTTTAACTAGCCGCTACTGTTTGCAATGCGAACGAAGAAAAGGTTTCTATTTATCACCCCGAGTTTTTATTTAATTTCAATCTCCAATTCGAAGATGTTCCTTTGCGTAAATTTTCCGAAGGAATACCGGTTTCGGTCCGGTTTTCGGTTCGGTCCGGGTCCCTGGGTTTAACCAATGGTTATCTCAAATTGCACACTTTTTATTAAAAACACACGCGTTGTTATCGCCTTTTATTTCTCGCCGTAATTTTGTTTCTGTTCGCTATGAAGCGGTACATGTGTAAATCTTCCTATGCTTACCAAAATATAATATTGTAATGTGATAACATAATATTGTATCTACATTTGTATTAATTATTAATCAGTTCCTAAGCGAGTTCATGATTTTAGACTTTCTGTCCGTCCGGCCGTCTGTATGCATGATACCTCCGTCCACTGGCGTACTTGATAATGACATCTCGTGAATGGTTTCGAATTTTTCAATTCTGTTTTCAGTACATATTACGTTTATCACCACTCAATAAAGAACTGATTAAATTTTCAGTGACCCAGGAGCTCGCTTGCTATATTTGTTACAAGTTTATTAAATATAGCAATATATTGTGCATTTTGTTGCATGTCTGTACATGGCTTTATACGCCAGATGATAGTTTAGTTGCCTATTTATACACACCTGTCCACATTGAAAAGTCGTACTATCAGATATGAACAAAGACGAACTCTGGAAATGGAAAACATGTAAGCTCCTCCAGGTGTAGAGTTGCGCTGGATGATTTAAACAAGTAAACATTTTGTTAACCAAGGGTTTTCCTAATTGGATAAAACACTTCTAAACCACAATCGATGTAAAAAATACCGCATCCTATAGATAATCTACTTTACCCTAAGTGCCGATATTGAGCGGATTTTCACATATAACGATAAGCAGTTCATAATATTATATGACATAAGTTGTGCAGATTTACCAATTAATCTAGAACTCTATTTAATTTCATTTAATTGTGAATTACATCTGAAAAAAGTTAAGTAGATGCTCCAGAGGTACTTGGAGGATGGAGGAGAAAGTTGTACTACAATCCACCTTTAAAAATCTACGCGACAGTTTAATTGCCTAGTTCTAGTACATTACGATTTAACGCTTTTAAATTAAATTAAATTTAAAATTAAATTAATTCATATAAAGTTCATCACTTCATCTAATTTTTTTCTATTTTTTTTCCGTTCTACTTATGGCGCACATATGAATGAACCTGCGTAATCTCAACTGGAAATTTACAATCAGATTCAGTTGCATCAATCACAGTCTATATATAAATTCCTGGCCCACTTTGAAACTTGGCATGTGGAAAAAAACAAAATTTCTTCTACCGTAGTCTAATAACGGAAATAGAAGAAAAGAATCTCAATTTATCGCAATTTGTGAGATAAAAATAATTGAGTCCCCCACGCAAACAGTATGTTAGCATTCACCAGTTAAGGCATTCCGCGCGTATATCAAATCTGGTTTTATTAATCAGTCCACTTGCAAACTTTGCATGGTTAAGATTAGAAAAATTTTGGATAGTTATTCGCGTACGGTGTGGAAAAACAAAAATAGATGGAAACCGAATTCAAGGTTCCCAAAAAGCGAAATTTTCGTGAGAATGTAAACCCCTTTAGCGCCTTATTCTTTCTGTAAGTAAATTTTATTTGCTATCTATTGTGAGGTACCTACTTACATTTACGAAAATGAATTAGGTACCTAATCGTTTCGGTTTAACCGTACCTTTTATAAGGGGAATGAAAGGAAATTCTCTAATTTATGGCGGTCAAGGATTTTACTACAGCATGTTCTAGGCCTAATAAAGAAATCAAAAGTAGGCCGTTTATAATAATCGTTTAATGTTATTATGTGTATTATACAGTCGTTTAAAGTATAATTGACTTGTTAAGGCAAAAAACCTTTTGAATCTACTTACATCCCAATTTTGAAAGCAAGTTTGATAAGTAGCCTAAAGGTCTAATGTTAAACTTTGTGATAGGAAGTAGATCAATTTTGCCCTAGATTTTGCCACACCGTAGGAAGCTATGTCGTTTCTACTATTCCTAACAGGCTTTGCAAGTTGTATTGTTCAATTCGTTTGGAAACCAGTTTATGTTAACAAAAAACAAATTCCCACGTGTGACCGTTGAGTGAAAAATTCAATGTTGTGACGTAAATGAAAAGATTTGCATAGAAGACTTTTTTAAAACAAGGCGAGCTATTCCAATGCTCCAGTTTGTTCCCACATCTATCCATATGCATGGATTTATTTCCTAGCCTTATTTACATTTTCGATTTGCGTCACCTCAAGGTCTAGGATGAGCGCAGTTCGTTCCAATTACCTACGTACTGGAAAAGTGGATTATTTGAGAGAAAATTCGTTCAAAGCAACAAACTGAGAATCCGAAGTGTTAATATAATCATAATATTTTGATGTACTCACTTATGAATCGACGTAGTTTCGCAATCAAAAAACAAATTAATTGATAAATGAACTCGGATATATTTTTAATTTGTTATGCAAGGTTGCTCTAACTTTTATTTATTTATATTAAGTACAACAACTTTCTATACCGTGGGAAGAATCAACCCACACACGTGGAAAAGCTCCCTTGATGTCTTAAGTCTTACCGTTAGTTCACCACTTCTGCATTTGCTTTTTTTAGTTTACTGTACCCATTTTAGTCCACTATTTATCAATAGTCCAGTCAAATAAGGATGTGTAGCATGAGTGAGCAGAGATAGGTGCTTCAGATAATGGTTCAGAGTAGTAAACCTACTGAAACTCCCGACCTCTATGTAGCGAGCTGAGAGAAGGGGGTGGGGGGAAAGGTACAAGTTTTTAGTTTTTCACTTGTATATTGAAAAATGTTCTTCATATGGGAAAATGTTTCGATATTAACTAAAAGACCAAATTTTTTTCCAAAAAAGTGTTTACCTCGCGTTTGTCATCGAACATCCTTTTATATCGCGTAAATCTAAACCGTTCATCAGAGATAGAAACGCCATTTAAAGAAGTTGTGGAGAATTGAATTCCCTTGATGAATATAAATGTATTACATAAGCTAGTCAAGGAATAATATGCACTTCAACATGTAGAAATATGCGCATATATATGCACAAAAATAGTGATAATTATGCACCAAATATGCATCATGTTCTTTTAAAATGCACAATTTTTCCACAAATTTTGTATTTAAAACAACAGGTTGCAACAACTTCATAGTATAATTTTCAAAAAAAAAATGCACAAAATATAACTAAAAACTAATTAATTTCAACTTACACTACCCTTTGATAACAACGAGAAGGAAAATGCTACTAAGTAGGTACTGCTTTGTAAAACTCCAAAGAAAAACTAATAATTACGGCAGCGACTACAAATGCAGACGTAAAAACTGCAATCGTCGGAATTTATGACTCATTAAGATGCACAAAACCCGTGGCGTCGACTTATGAACAGGAAAGCGCAAAAGTTTCTTGCTTTGCAATTTTATAATAGGCCAGAGACAAAAATTCTACACGGGGATCAAAATGCTTGAATAATATGCTCTTGATAATATTTTATGCACAAGGGCACTGAAATATGCAAAATATGCAAATATTAATTGGGTTATTTGAACTCTATTCAAGTTGATCAGTCCAGATCCAAAAGCACACACATGGCATATTATTAATTTAAAACATGCATTTGCATAAAATCACTGCCTTGTACATAAGTATGCTTATTAATCTCCAACAAAATTTATGATCTGAAATTTTCAGAAAAATCTATTTTTGTCCAACTCCACATCTTTTGTGTCATATATGATGATGTATTAAGTTCCCAGCAAACAGCATTACTTACGGCGAGACATCCGCCCTCGCATCCGCCTTAGTCTAAAAAGCCGCGTTTATCTTCTAACCAAGGTACTTAAAGCTACCTGCACTCATCCGTTGCATAACGATGTTCCCGACTATTCTCAAACCACGGCTTCAACGCCCGTATTGATAAACACCTGCCTTCGTTATCTCCCTCATGGAGTTGTTAGTATAATAAAGCCAATTAAATTCTCCAATAAAACCTTTATAATACATCTGGCCAAATAAAAACTTTATTCCCGACTTAAATAATTTCTAGATTTGCAATAAACACAATAAACAAAAACTAACATTAAGGTGACAATTTAGCAAATATTCCAATTCTGTGTCTTTTTGAACGAAATTCGCCCCACGTCTTATCACTTAAATGAATTGAAATATTCGACATTCAGGATGTCCTCACTGTTATTTCCAATGCGTAAACTGTAAATTACGTTGGGAACACGTAAAATTTTCACTACAGTGTGGCTCGCTATCATCTTCGGCATTATTTAACCTCGACACTCCCATGTAGTTTACACAACAACATATTTCTTTAGAAACAAACTAAATAATGAATATGCTTATTAGTCAAGGCTAAATAGCTCTAAAATAATTTATTTTCAAAAAAATTAGTTACCGCCGGGCGAAACCGGGTTTTTTCAGGCAGGTGCAATGAAAATTGTAAGGAAAGGGGCATAAACTGGGGGAACAGTTTTAAGATATACCGTTTTTGACAGTAGGTAAATAGCTTTTTTTGCAACTAATAAAAAGTTTTTGAAATCTGTCTTCTCTCTCCTCTTTAATGTTGCTAAAATATTTTCTTTTGTTTCCCAGTGCCCAACTGCCTTAATTAAAACATCTTTATTATTTCTTTTTTCCGCATTTTTACCGCAATAAAAGCAATTCGAAGTAAAATCGAATTCTTTTGCTTCCTGAACAATTTTTTTTGTTCAGTAACTCCTGCCTGTTTTACAGCTGATGGGATTAAGCTGGGCCTGTTGATCGTTAATTTACAGGAATTATGAATCAAATCCACATAAAGTTTATTCCAGGTTTTACATCTCAAATCATTAGCTTTGGACGGTAAAACTAACGTTCTTATTGCAAATTTTCCAAGTTTATCAACAGGCCCAACGCAATTGCATCAGCTATAAAACATGCAGGAAGAATAGTCGCAGTGAACAAAAACAAATTGTTCAGGAATCAGGAAGCAAGACAATCCGATTTTATTTCGAATTGCTTTTATTGCAGTAAAAATGCAGAAAACAGAAATAATAAAGATGTTTTAACTAAAACAGTTGAGCATAAGATAACAAAAGAGAATATTTAAGCAAACATGAAAGCATTAGCATCCAACATGTTGATTTATGATGTCAATAACCGCGTATATCTTAAAACTGTTTGTCCCATAGAATTAAGTGGTTGGTAATTCTATGGTTTTTCCAGTGTTTGGTGATTTTCTCGAATTTTTGCTACAAGAATAATATTTTGTTATCTTTGTTTATTAAAATATTAGTCTTCCCGAAAATTTTGCTACCCCACGCACCTCTGTACGATGGAAAAAAATAGATTTTTCATCCCCTTGAAAAAGAGGTGTTTTTTTTCAGAAATCGTTTGTAAAAAAATATTATATAGCCTGGACTTTATTAATTAACTCAGAAATTCATGTCGGCCATGCGTTCATTGGACAAATACACGTCTAGTGCGACAAAGACACTCAATTTGCAACTTGTTACATAAAAGAATTAAATAGGCCATGCCGAAAATGAAACTGCGACCATAAAATTCCACGTATATTTTTGCCGGAATCTATAGGGAAGTAGGGATTTTTGTGAAATCAAATTATGGGTCGTTAGTGTGTCAAATGACACAATTGACAATTGCCATTAAAAATATATGTAATCAAAAACTTCGACATAAAATCGAGGAAGTAAAAGTAGCAAATAAGTTTAATTCGTGCCGCATATTCGTAAATAGCAGACGCGGTATCCATTCGGAAAACTCCCAAGCATTTCTGTACAAACGTAGAAACTATCAACTCCGCCGAATTAGGTTACGTATTTGTTCGAAAAAATGTAAAAAAAAAACTTTTCATGCAAAGAATCGAACCCGAGCTCTCCGGTTGCAAACCGAGAATTCTTGCCGTTAGCTAGACATTAGACGACGCCCACATTAACGGCGCACTCAACCAATTTACGGACATACACGTATTCTGTTTTTACCTCTCAAAAACGTGTCTCGGACACGTGTGGCGCCATTCGTATCGTAGCGTACATTGTGTCACAGTATGCGTTTACCCATTAATTACGACTCCCCACTGCGACAACTCCCCATAGGCCAGGAAACATAGGGTTTGTAGGCGAAATAATTATCGCAAAGCTGGAAATGGTTTTAATCTTTTTATTTTCATGTAAACAGAGTGTTTTAAAGTTTGCACCAATTTTCTACTTGTGCTGACGGAGGGGTGGCTCAAAGACCGCAAAATTTGTGGACTTTTTTCAGTTTTTCATGAATAACTCGTAAATGATACTTTTTTACGAAAAGTTTATTCTTCCACAAATTGAAGAAGCTAAAATTCTGGGTCGAATGAATACCCAAACTTGAAATTGCGTCAAATCTTTATGAATATATGAGCAATCAAAGAACGACGAGATCTTCTAATTCGTTATTATACTCGTATAGTCAGGTAGCATAATTTCGTCATCGCTTAAGTATGAGAGTCGTCATCAATTTCTTCTGGTGTATTCGTGCAGGACACTCCTCTGCAATTATAGCATATTGAGGAACATTTCATTCCTTGTTTTCTGCAACCACAAGCATTTCGGCACCCCTTCAAACATTTGCAGGCACTGTTATTAAGTAATTCCTGCTGGGCTAGTTCGGCTCTTGATGGCACTGGGAGTAGCCCATGCTTTGTAAGCTTCCAACCCCATTCAAGTGGGTTCGTGAAATGATTATTCCACATATTAATTTGAAGGAAGGCCCTCAGTACGTGCAGTTTAGCAGCTTCCTCAGTTGGAGGAAGAGTGGCTAAGTTGAAAGTATTCTGTACTAAGAACTTGATAAACAGTTTACAACCTGTCTTATTCAAAGAGGGAGATTGAAGGAGCGATCCCGAATACAATGCTCTAATTATTTTTACGCCGCCAGCACCGAGTCGCGTCGCGGTTGTTGAATATTTCAACAATTCTTTGTACCTCCGCATCTTTTTCGAGAAGCTTTACAAGCTTCATCTTCCCCTGTCTGAAAATATATTTTCTTTAACTTTTCTTGACATTTTGAAGTGTGTAGGGGAATTAAGGAATTAGAAAAATGGTTGTTTCTTGAACATGCATATCGTACATACCATTTTACTCAATTTTTAATATGTGCTCATTCGACGTACAATTCCATGTACTTTATTTTACGAAAGAATAAAATTTTCCTATAAATGCATCGTTTAAAAGTTATTAGCGAAAAACTGGAAAAAGTTGAAAAATTTCTAGATTTTTGCAACACCGCTCGTACAGCACAAGCAGAAAATTGGTGCAAACTTAAAAAAACTCTTTTTTCATCCAAATAAAGAGATTAAAACCATTTCCAGCTTTCCGAGAATTATTTCGCCTACGCCCCCTTTTTTGGTCTATGTTTCTTGGCCTACCACTGCGACAACTCGCCACTACGCCAACTCGCCAATGTTACAACTCGCTGATAACGTCATAATGACACGATTTCGGCTCAAATTTAATACAAAACTCGTCAGTAAAATGACGGAAATTAAAGTACTCGGTCCCTAGGGGGCCTCGTACTTTAAAATTTTCTCGCTAGTAATATGTCATTTTCTGGACTTTTATGTAAATAACTATTATTTGGTAGGTCTCTCAATTATGAGAATTATAGTTCACTTTGAATGAACGCAAAAGAGTAAGACGACCTATTCCTATGCAAGGAGCATAGCATGACAGGAAAGATAATTCCTTAAAAGTCTCATTCTTTTCTGATTTCTAATATTATTTACATTTCAGACACATGTTCCCAGTATTCCAACGGAATTGCAAAAAAGGCCTCAAAGAAACCGACCTGTGCGACGTACTGGACGAACAAAAAGCAATATTGTTGGGAGACAAACTAGAAAGCATTTGGAAAAAGGAGTTCAGTTCGGATAAGAAACTACACAAGTCACTATTTCGTATGTTCGGCTTTGAATTTGTAATATATGGAGTCTTGCAATTTGTCAATGAATTGACATTAGTGTAGGTATGGATCACAAGATTCATATAGTAACGATGGCTTTTAGGGCATTGCTACCGCTTGCAGTAGGAGAGTTCATTTCGTACTTTGAAGAAAAACCTACCGAAGGCAGTGAGGCAAACGCTTACACTTACGCGGCGCTAATTGTTTTCTGCATTTTGCTGAACGCCTTTGTAAATCATTCCACTGCAATGGGCTTGATGCACATATCAATGAAGATGGCCATCGCTTGCAGTTCATTCATATACCGCAAGTCGTTAACTTTAACTCATACACGTCTAGTACAAGTTACTTCCGGTCACATTCTCAATTTACTTTCAACGGATGTCAGTCATTTAGAATATGGACTGCTAGTTGTCCACTATATTTGGATTTCGCCAATTCAGGTAGTCGTAGGAATTTACTTGCTGTACCGCGTTATAGGCGTCGCGGCGTTCCTCGGAATAAGCCTTCACTTACTATACATTCCATTACAGAGTAACATTGTAAATGATAGAGTTGTTAATTTGTATAAAACTAATCTACTCTTGCAGTTTATTTCGGTAAGAAAAAGTCCGAGTATCGTTTGAGGGCGGCGAAACGGACAGATGAACGCGTTAACATCATGAATGAAATTCTGAATGGAATTAATGTAATTAAGATGTATGTGTGGGAGGGACCCTTCGCTAAACGAATTTCGCAAGCACGAAGGTGACTAACCTATCAATTGTGTCCGCATTACAAGTCATTAGGCCAAATTAATAATGTCTTGTGGTGTGGTCAACCATAGTAGGTAAGTAATCAATTCCTTTTGTAGGTCTGAGGTGAAGATCTTTCGCGCTTCGTATCACTTAGACGCAATCACACACGCCTTGGAAATAATTATGCCCGGATTTTCTATATATTTAAGTGTAATTGCATTTATTTATCTAGGAAATACTATAAAGGCGTCGACCGTTTACTCCGTAATCGCCATTTTTGACGCGTTACGACCCACATTAACCCTAATGTTTTCAGAGGGCATATCAGATCTTGCCAAAGTTCTCGTTACTATTAGTAGGATACAAACCTTTCTTAATTACGAGGGGACAAATAGTGCATTTACTGTCAATAGAGACACTACGGCGAGTAAGCCTGAAATAATTCTGCAAGATGTTAGTGCTAGCTGGCAATTGCATAGCTTCAACGATTTAGTGTTGGAACGCATAGATCTGAAGATTGATCATCCTCAGCTGGTAGTAATAATTGGTTCGGTTGGAAGTGGAAAAAGTAGTATATTCAGCATTTTACTCAACGAACTCCCGTTGGTCAGTGGATATGGTCAAATTAACGGAATAATATCGTACGCATCTCAAACGCCGTGGCTATTCGCTGCAAGCATTCGCCAAAACATTCTGTTCGGAAGTTCGTACGATGAAGAACGTTACAAGAAAGTAATAAAGATCTGCGCGCTCGACTCAGACTTTAACTCATTCCCTTGTGGTGACCGAACTGTAATTGGCGAACGAGGCACCACGTTAAGCGGAGGGCAAAATGCTAGAATCAATTTGGCGCGCTGCATTTACAAGGTTGCGGACATATACTTACTGGACGATCCCTTATCAGCCGTGGACGTTAATGTTGGTAGAAAGATTTTTCGGGATTGCATAAAAGAATTCCTTCGAGATAAGATATGCGTTCTAACAACCCACCAGGTTCAATACCTAAAAGATGCCGATGAGATAATGATTTTAGACGGCGGAAAGCTAGTGGGGAAGGGACGGTATGATGACTTGAACGGACTGAATTTTGATCAGTTCCTCCCAAAGTTACACGAAGACCAAAGGCATTCCGCGGCTCTGAGCGATTTCGAAGATTATTTCGAAACCAAAGAGTACTCGGGAAATCTTCACACTTTCAAAGAGACTATGCAAAAGGGTAGCATCAAGGCTAGTGTCTATCTTGGTTATTTTAGATATGGAGGAAACATATGCGTTATTGCATTACTGGTACTTTGCTTTGTCGGGTCACAAATTAGCGAAAGTGGTTACTATTTCTTTATATCATTTTGGTAACACTTCCACCGTCGCATAACAATGAATACACCTTTGCTTTAGGGTGGATGTGGAATACAACTCTACTAACGGAAGTGCCAACGTTACCATTTATCAAAACGGAATGAAACGCTTGGAGTTAATTTACATGTACACAGCGATCATCTTCACCATAGTGGCTTTGGCAGTAACCCAAGCAATCTTCTTTTACGCATTTTTTATGAGAGCATCAGTTAATCTTCACAACTCCATCTTTGAAAAAATTATAAGGGCAACCATGTCCTTTTTTAATGCAAACCCAACAGGCGTAATTTTGAATAGATTTTCTGATGATCTAGGAGAGGTCGATGAATATATACCAAATATTTTAGCAGACACCATACAGGTAAGTAATAATCGCTCCTGTGTTTGATCAATCTCACGCCGCTCTTTACAGATATCCCTTCAACTAGTTGGTGTAATTGTGGTCACAACAATCATAAATTACTGGTTCTTTTTACCATCAGTCGGGCTTCTCTTATTCTTTCTCCTGTTAAGAAGTGTATATATGAAGACCAGCCGAAGCGTAAAGCGCATTGAAGGAATAAGTAATACTTTCACGGTTTTTCAGTCAATAACGCCTATTTCCAGCCCGAAGTCCTATTTTATGTCACATGTCTACAACACTGCGGGGAATAACGACGATCCGAGCGTTTGGCGTCGAAAGCGTGCTGCGACAAGAGTTCCACACCTTCCAAGATTACCACACATCTGCTTGGTACTTATATATCTCATCCAATAAGGCGTTTACCTTCTGGCTGGACTTGATATGCGGAATCATCGCGTCCTTAATCATTCTCAGCTTATTTCTAAACAACAAGGGTAATCATTCTATCGCAAATTAAAAGGAACTGTACATGTGTGCCTCCAGATTATCGTGGAGGCGATGTTGGTCTGGTTATTAACGAATTCTTAAGTTTAATGGGCGTCTTGCAATGGGGCATGAATCAGTGGAGCGAGTTGGAGAACCACATGACCTCAGTGGAACGGATTCTCGAGTATAAAAAGGTCGAAACTGAGCCTAAGCGAAGAGTCCTCAAAGGTATAAGCGAAAAATGGCCCGATCGGGGGAGCATCACTTTCCAAAATGTATCAATGAAGTATAACAGCTTCGATGGGCCTATTATTAAAAATCTGAACGTGACGATTAAATCCAAAGAAAAAATCGGAGTAGTCGGGCGCACTGGTGCCGGTAAATCATCGACGATTGCGGCATTATTTCAGTTGTACCCTATCGAAGGTTCCATTTTAATTGACGATGTTGATATAACACAAGTGCCCTTAGAGAGGCTACGTAGTAAAGTTGCCATTATTCCACAGGAGCCTTTCCTGTTTTCTGGCAGTATAAGGTACAATTTAGATCCGTTTGAGGAGTACAACGATGATGTTTTGTGGGGCGCTTTAGAGAACGTTCAGTTGAAAGAGGATGCAATAAACTCTGCTTTTGGGTTGTATTATGATGTCATGGAATCGGGTGCCAATTTGAGCGTAGGTCAAAGGCAATTGCTCTGTTTGGCTCGAGCGATAATACGCCATAATAAGATTCTCATCCTTGACGAAGCCACTGCAAATGTAGATCCGCGAACGGATCACTTAATTCAAGAGATAATCAGGGAGAAGTTTGCAGATTGTACGGTGATTACGATAGCGCATAGATTGCAAACGATTATGGATTCGGATAAAGTAATCGTTATAGATTCTGGCGCGATTATCGAGTTTGACTATCCACACCTTTTGTTACAAAATAGCGGCAGTAAATTTTATGGTATGGTGCATGCTACAGGAAAGTCAACTGCTGAAAACCTCCACCGATTAGCAAAAGAAGTAAGTTGGTCCAAATAAAATTACTACACTAATATCAAATTTCAGAGTTATTGTAGGCGCATCCGATCATCAAGTCAGTACTTAAAAGTCAAGCCCTAAACCAACTTTAAGGATATGCGGGACATCTTTTTTACTAACAGGGTTATGTAAAATTTTGTTGGCCAGCCCTACCCTAAGTGTAGGCTTTGAATATAAACTAATTTTATTCAAAGGTGTAGGTATATCGGAAAAAGATATAATGCATAAACTTGTACGGCAAACAATTGTTGTATAATGTTAGCGATTGTTAATGAAGAAAGCAATAAAAACAACATTTGTATTTTCAACTTCGTATCGCAATTTTTTTTGTTAAAAAAACCGATGCAACTGAACGCCGAACGATCCTCGAGATCTTCACGCATCCATCATTTTTACAACACACCTTAAGGGGTTGATTCTGTCCCACCAACGTAGCTTGTAAAATAAATTGTTTGAATCGGCATTAATTTTACTTTTCCTCGAGGTACATTATACCATACGTACAAAATTACATTTCAATACCTTAACAAATAAAAACATTGGATTGCGCAAATACAAAAGTCGGAATCCGCATATTTTTTTGAATCTGCATAGTTGCTTGAGGAATATTTACTGATACAGAAAACCCGGCATTCATAGGTTCTTTGCAACAAAGAATTATACAAGATACCCTTTTTTGGAGGTTCGGGCAATTCTTGGGCTGTAAATTTTTAGCCCGTTAGTCTACGTAGCACCTACGTTTCGTATACCCTTAAGAACATGTGTACCAATTTTCAAAGCGATCAGACGTTTCTAAACAGAGTTATCGTGCGCACGGACAGACAGACGGACAACAGTACAAAATTATAAACGATCTCGAAGATCGTTAATAAGTGGGCACTGATATAGGTACCCAAAAATTCACCTTTCCTCCATAAAATCGAAAATACGCGACGTATTTCGACGAACTTTAAGATTAAAGGTTCTTTACGATCATTTGCCGCATCAATCGACCCAACATTCAATTTAAAATTATTGAAGGGTTAGCAACCCTGCTTAGCGGGGGAGGGATGTAATTTCTAAGTAAAAGATGTCCCCCTTCTAACCAGAATCGCCCTGTTTTTGCGTTTTTTGTTGTTATTTAGTCTGTTTCGTTTTCATTGTGCAACCCTGTATTAATTTCATTAACTCTTTAGCTACCGACCCATTATGGATACTGTAACAGGTTGGCGTTTTAGACTTTAAAATTTTGGTTAAATTTACAAATTGTTGGTATAGGAAATACCGCTTCATTATGAAAGAGAACAGAACTTGTACTGGAGAAATATAAGAGTCGAAATGTTACAGCGTTGCCGGCTCTAACAACCGTCGCGACAGAGCATGCGAGGGGTAATCTCCGCCACAACTTGTGTATAGAAAAACTGCGTGGACACATTGTTTGCGTTGGGTTCGTTTCGCATTTGGATTCGGCGAGATAGTTAAGTAAAAATCTGGTGGGAGAGATTGATTCTTACTGAAATCTTCGAAGAAAATCTATGCTGGTGGAGAGCTACTTTTTTCGATCGCATATTGATTTTTAGCCGAACCGTCGCGTCGGTCGCAAATTTACATGTTGTGTAAAAGAGACTCCTTTGAATTTTTGTATTGTACAAGAATAGGAGTCGGCTATTTTTGGGAATTTTGCATAAGGAATTTGAATTTGAAGTCGATATTATATTCATAACTAGGTCGACTTGCACTGATTTATCCCGTAAACAAATTTGTTGTTCTTTGCCAATCTTATGTGTGGGTTTTGAATTTTCGCATCCAAGAGGTGTGTAATAGTACATTGATCTACAAGGGTTAGTTTTCTAGTGAGTGTAAATGTTTGAATTCACGAGTGAGCGCAGTGGATCAAATTTGCACGAGCATAGAAATTCACTTTTCTTACGTGGAGATCATGCTATTTTTTCGTGTAAGTAGTTGACAAAAATAACTCTAATTATTGAAACGTTTTGTTTTGATGTCGAAGAATAATTTACTATAATATCAAAGTATGTTGAGCATTTGTTGACATGGTAACAAAACATACGAACAAGTAAATAATTTGTGAATAACGCTCATTTAAAATGAGTCAATCAAACGGGAATAATGAAGACATTTTACAATTGGTATTCAATCTCTGAAATATCGGGCCATTCTTGATGATCTTATGATTTACAATATAGTTATTTACATAATAAGTCATAAAAGTGGTCGTTTACATGACTCGGACGCTTATTGAAAAGTACGAGGACGCGCAGCGTCCGATTATCTCTTTAATGCCTCCAAGTCCGCAACATGTAGATAACTCTTCCAAATTAAATTATTCATATGTGTGAAATTTTGATAACTAATCACGCATGCTAAAATCACTTTATTTAATTGTTTCCATAGAGATTTCAATCAGTGTCATTTTTAATGCAGTTTGCAGTTTATGCTTTGTACTTTTCAACTATACAGTCTTTATAACTAGGTACAAAAGCAGGTATCTTCTATGATTTTTTCATTCCACCTCCTCGTTTCTCCTCGGAAATCTATCTGACGTTCTCGGTACGTTTCCAACATATTCATTAGGTAGTGGAGTCTATCTTTGATACCGCTTTGGAATGTTTTCATTTGCCCTCCTTACTGCTTCTTCAGTAGCTTGGGATTGCTCCTGTTGCATTTCTGCACCCCCTCCAAAATTGCTTTCTTGAATTTCCAAGCTTCCAAAAATGTTTTAACTTTCTTGCGAATCCATGGTGTCAGTTTGAGCCTGTGTAATTTCTGGTGTATTTTCTTTTTCTTGAATTACTTTTCGTATAGGCTTCTTGAAACCTGACCGTAATTCCATACAAGAAAAATGTTTAAAAAATATCAATCCTAACTTCCTGTAACTTTAAAAACTCTGGAATTTTTACTGTAACAATAACAATAGATTTCTTGTAATGAAATAATTAATACCACGGCTAACTCAGTTATAAGTAAACTCTTTATCTAGTTATATACTCGCTTCTTCATTATCTCGGTTCTCTTTCATTATGGAGCGGTACACGTATAAAATTTCCTATGGTGGCAAATTTGTAAACTCAAACCCAAAATTTTCTAAGCCTAAAGCGACCACCTATGTAGTATGTATTCGTATGTATTCTCATAGCTGCGAAGACCAGCTAACATGTCCCTAGCCAATTCAGGGTCTCACAGCTGTTCTTATAAACCCTGAGGTGCAGAGATTCTCTTATCCTACAACAAACTAATGCAGAACCCCTAAACATGGCAGGGGAAATAATGCCTCCTGGAGCCTCCAACTCGCCCAGTACTGGTGCCGATAAAGTTATTACCTTTAACGACCCGTGGTCTGAGTTCGATTTCTCCAAACTCTACTCCTGTATTGACAAGTGGCAATCGACCTTTCACCAAAGAAGCCCGGAATCAGAAGTTGACCAAGTGTCGACCACGTACGCCTCAGGAGTCCAACGCAAGGGAGAATGAAATAAAGCATTCCTGTTTCTCATTTATTTATTTACTTATTTATTTATTGATTTATTAATTAATTAATTTATTTATTTATTTATTTATTGTTCCTCTCTTGCTCTGGGCCCTCAACAGGCGTTCACCCCGTTACAGAGTAACACGAATAACGCTTTTTAGCGGTGAAAGCAGTGGTAGATCAAAACCACAGGATTGTTTTATATACGGCAAGTAACAATGGCCATTACTGATTTACACAAAAACACCAAATCCCAATCCCAACAATTACTATATGTTAATGGATGATCAAACGTCTACGGTTGTGACTCGTGGTGAGTCGATTTGTTAATGGTCTTTAAAAAGAATGCGTACCTATAGGAGCTTGTACATGTACTATGGTGGAAACTTACCATTAAAATTTCTTCATTGCCAATTCAGGTATCCCTAAATGATTGTTGTCCAAAAACAGAACTTGTGTACTTGGTCAAGATTCAGGTCTTTTACGGGGTTTTGTTAATTAAATTTATGCAACAAAAAGTAATACTTACTAGAATTGGGTGGAAACTTACGTAGATTGTGAATTCATAGTAGGTAGGTAATCAATAAGAACAACGCATAATTAAACATTAACGTATGATGTGGAAATCCCAAGTCGTGGTTATAAGATCTCTTGCAATTACTTTAATGGAGGTAAGATTAGAAAAGTTAATTAAACCCAGAATTATGTGTTCAGTTATCAGCTAGAATTCGAAATGGAGAGAGTAGTGGCGTTAAATATTAATATATGAACTTGAGTTCTCTCGAAGTTTGGACTTACATTGAATAAATTGCGTTCAATAGATCGCACATTAATATCTACGCAGACCGTCCCCGTTCTTGTTAAATAGATTGAAAAGCAAATATAGATAATGCTTCATGACCCTGTGTGCTGTTAGTAGATGCTCAATTAATATCGAAAACAAGTTGGTCCCCAGTTCATTGTATCTATCAGCGGTGAAATTGTGCCATTTCGAAAACAATTCCGATTTAAATTGAGGGTGAGTTTATTATAAGCTTCCTTTTTTTTAAATTATAAATTACGGTCCTTTTAAAATTTTAAGATTCAAATATGCGGCATATTTTTGAACTATTCTCTATATGAGTTACCTACCGGATTTGGTAATTTTTGCGAAATTTGTAAAGGTTGTCCTCATTTTGTATCAGATATGGTTACTTGTAGGTGAACATAAGTGCCAAATTCAGGTTATTTGCAAACACGTTTTAAATATATGATATTTCTTAATTCATATAATCTCTACACATTCCTCAGCTTTAGCACAATTTCCTAAAATTATGTTCATAACATATAAGTCGGTGTTTCATACTACATTACAATATTATCATAACACACCATTCAAGCGTTTATAAAACGATACATAGCCGGTTGCAATATTTAAAATGCATGTATTTATTTCAAAATCAACAGAAATTTAGGCAGGTGTAGGTGATATTTATACATTTGATCGATTTTTGCATATTATAAAGATACCTACCAACAAGTTAATTATTACCGTCATTTAAACGTTACCTTTACTTCCTGAACTAACAAGAAAAATGTACCTCCTCATTTTGAAGTGAAGGTTTTTCGTGTTGTTTTTTTATCAACATGTAGGTTAAACCATAGCTAGTGTAATTCTTTACACTAAGCTTAAACCAACGAAACAACCCCAGAGACATGAGGAGATATTTGAAAATTTGGAACTTTTAAACGGTTTAATTTTAATATTCCCAATGTGACGTTTTGGCGTGGCCTCGAACACCATTTCGATGGTTAATTAACAAAGTAATTATTTTAACTAGAATTATTATTATATACTAAATGGGACTGCGCCGTTAGCCACACATTTTTAGTATCCACGTTAATAATTAAAAATTTCACGGTAGTTACAATGAATAAAACACATAAAAGTATCGTAGCTCGTTAAATAAGTACCTAAGTGAAACAAAAAGGTGTAGGTACCTAGATAACACATTACACGTTTTATTGACTTTGCTATATTAAATTTTAATTTTATTTGTTAAAATAATAACGATAACGTAATGTTAATTTGTACAACTTCACAATAATTTACCTTTAATTTAAATTTATACAGGTATCTAATTACTTAGAAACGTACCCAAATAGAGTGACTAATATATCGTGAGAATACAACGTCAGATAAAAAAATAGTGCTAAGTTATACTGCCCCCTCCCTAACAATTGTTACGCAATCATTCTAGTTCCGGGTGCGAATGCGTCAGATGCGAATAATTAATTGGTTTCGATGGTAGGAGAAACGTCAATTGCGCATATAGTCTCCCTTTTTTGCCCTGTCCGAACTGCGTCGGGCTTTCCAAATAATTATTATCTCTAGGGTATTTCAAAGAAATGGCCATCTTTGAGTTTTCTCATTTTTTGAGGTCGTGCAACTGCTGTATACTGAACTTAAAACTACATCTAACATCTCCATGAAACTCCCGACCTACTCCAGCTAAATAAATTGAAATAGAGAACCCTTACTGAAAATTATTTATACACGTTCAGGTATACTGTAAACCATCGTGACAACTACAACTAAATGACAGTACCGATAACCGATCTTTAAAATGGTTGACACTAATGATGACATTTAAGTTACTTAAATAAACTAATAAATTATGAAATGCGACAGAACAGACTACGGACAGTTCTTATCGAAAATACGGTATTATTGACCCTTTTTAACATATCGCAAGTACGGTATACTTGTTTTTAAAATTGTTAAATATCTCATTTTGGTAAATAACCCTTGTAACAATTTGTTACTATAGAGTGGTTGAAAATAAAAATGTGAAATATGAAAATAAAATTAACTATGAATTTTTTTAAACACCAATTAATTTAACCGTCGGCTACCTCCGAAACACAAATTCGGATGCCCTTACCTTACGGCAATTTTGCCCTTTCTTTTAATCCTAAAAATCAAAACTTGTCGCTGATTAAACTGCAGACAATAATACAAATTTAAAATGAACTGCTTTAATATATTGATAAACTTACACTTTCTCATACATTTTTCTTACTTAAAGGTTTTACGGTTACTACGAATACTGAAAGTACAATGAATCAATGATGGTCGCATTTGTTTCTAACTTACCCTATTTAAACCTTAATAACAAAATAAGACATATGGCCATTTTATTTAAAAAAACAAACACTTTAACAAATTTCAAACGAACGAAACCAGAATTTCTTATAATTTTGCTGGATTCAACCAATTTACAAAAATCGAATTCTTGAAGAATTTTTCTTATTACTTTCATAAAATTTAACGCAATTTCTTAAAGAAAACCGATAGTTCTCTCGAATATAAATCATTACCTTAATTGTAGCGTTTTCTGGAATCGATGATTTCCTTATGCTACAAAACAATATGGCTTTTCTCAAATGGATAGTGCCTCAAAACTGGACAATTTAGAATTAAACTTGGATCTCCGGATGAATTTTTTACACCTTCCTCTTCTTATGCGAATGGCAATTCACTTTCTATTTATATCGTCTGCTATCAAACAGCTTTCCATTTTCGCAATATAAGTTATTTTTAGTGCACTAAAAGGCCAAACAAGTTCGAATTAGGACTTTTAATTGATCTAAGCTACACTCTAAACTGTGATTTATGCGCCGGATAAGTCAGGTATCACCTTTATCATTTTTCTATAGTTCTGAATACGAATTGGCACGTACACTTATTTTACGAATACAGTTTATGACACGGAATTTTCTAAACTAGGTCACAGAACATTCGGCTAATTTATTTTTATTTTATTTTATTTTGCTTTGATTTTTGGATTACCTTCGACCCTCGCTAATTGTAATTACGGGTGAAGTCCAAAAACGCGAATTGTCCCGACTTGAGCTCTATGACGGCTCAAAACAAATTAATTAATTTCCTCTCTCCATACCAGGAAAACTGGCAGTTTTTTCGCGCTGCGTAGCTTCTTTATCAAACACCGAATATGATTCAACTGTGTGATATGTGATTTTCCTTTTATATTTTATGTGTGTATTTTATTTTTTCCTCGTTGACACCTCCTATGTACGTATGTATGCCAAAGGAATAAGTAAAAAATAAAAAAAAATCAACTGTACTGTATCGTATTACTCATAAATTTTAGATATCGTGGCAAGTTGGCCTAACCCTTTCTCGCAACTCCATGACGCATCCTTCGACTGACTGAAATAAAAAGCGATTTGGAAATTTAAAATAACGAAGGCCCATGTGCCCTAGTTACTCAATGCGAATCGTAGAATCGTACGTAATTTGGAGGAAAATTGGCATACACCTAGGGACGCTTGTGAGCAAGAGGCGAAGAGTCCACTTTTAAATTTGTTTTTTCGATTTTAATAACCCTTATGGACATTTCATGCCATAACGAGAATACAAGTCCTTTGTGACTCAGACATACAGACACATATGGAGCGTAAAGTGAACTTTTTATTTTTTGAAAATGAAAGTGCACTAAAAAAACAGAATCAACCCCACACAAATCGAAGGGCTCATTAAAAGGGATCCTTTAATACCAATTTATAGCGGCTTTTGGGATATTTAATGCCGTCTTCGGTTTATTAAGTTAGATCTGCAAATAACAGTGCTATGAATTGCGCCATTTTTTATAAACAGCTTGTAAACATAAATTAGGTTTTCACGAGCATGCGTAAAATACATAGTTTTGAGATAATTTCTATTATTTACTTGGCTCTAGACGATTTCCTATTTTTGTTTGAATACGAAGTTACGCAAAGCTACATTTCGGGGTATCCTCAAGTTTGTGTAACGTAAATTTAATTCCGTGATTTATTAATTAACAATAACTTTATACCAGTCTTAAAATGAATAGATTTATAACAGTGCGAACTATTTATTACTTCGGCGTTGAAATTGAAACTGCCCTGAAACGCAATTCGATTTGCTTATATAGCAAACTCGAGTGTTGTCGAGTGCCCTCGAATGTTCTCGAGCATTCTGGAACAAAACACATAATATTTCCCGGAAAGATTGCGACATATCGGCCTTCGTCCATTATCATTTTTAAAAACAAATGAGATCTTGCGAATTTTTGAAATTGCGCTGTTTCCACGTTACTATTTGGGGTAGGTTAAACCGACCAAGAACAACCGGATAGGGCCTAAATATGAAAACTGCACATAGGTCACCAATCTTGCATTGAATAAGAATCCCTGACACTCTATTCCCGGATTCCTCTTTGCAATAGTTCATCCTTGTTTCGGAACAATTCTTATTGTGGTCAATACAAATTCATTTTCGGATTCTAACCCGACACTTTTTTCAAAATCTTATCAGCAATATTTTATCACCAATTTTCGCTGATTTCCAATATGAGAATGTATTCCGCTGTATAAGAGGATTTCCTCTATCGACCTCTTCGGTGTACTAGGGTCACTAGGGATCATTGACATTTTTTCTGCACTGAGTCGAACTCCAATGCCTACTCAAGTGAGCCATATTGGCTCAGATATTATTGGCTTATAAACTCTTGCAGATTTACGCTTGCCTTTGGTATACGGTTCCTCATATTTTATGCGTGCGACTTGAAACAACTATTCTACCATTTCATAGAGACTGGTTACATCTAGGATGTCTACTATTCCCATAAGGGCAAATTCTCCTATATTAGACCTATCCCAATTTGTTTCTACTGCCAGTGTTAGGAGGCGATTTCCACGCATTATTATTTTGCTTGATGCGAATTTTTCCATACGAAAGATATATTGATACATTCCATTCCGTATTACGTGATGTTTATCAGTCAAATTAATAAATAATTTCTTTTCAAAAAAAGTATCGTGAACTTGTGTATACGAACCTTGACCCGAAATACACTGTTTAACATAAATCTAGTTAAACGTAGGTGGTCTCATTGAAATTACTAAATAAATTGAGATATTTTCATATACAGGATGTCCCGTCATTATTTTTGGCGTTTGGACCGAAATTACGTTTACACTATATCTAAGTACATTAGATAACGTTATGTATACAATGGTTATTTTATGAAAAAAGAAATTGTAAATTTTGGGATTATTCTTATTAGAAATTGAACGTTTTCCGCGTTAATACACTGAAGATAAAAACACCTGGAGATGTAGATAAGAAATATTTGCTCATATATGTGTGACGTCCGTCACTTTTTATAGAGGATTGTTTTTGTATTACAAAATTCATACGTGAAATGAGATTAGGATTTATGACAAAAAGTGCGCCCATATTTCATTTTTAAATTAGTTGATGTGGAGAATTCCTCATACCAACTCGGCGCAAAGGTGTAGCGTGAAAATTCAAATTAAATCAATTAATAGCGGTTTAAATGATTGACCGTAACACAACGTTTCAAATTCAGGTATTAATGCTGCTTGCCAGCTAAAACTAGATATAAAGTGATTGAGTTTATAGCAATTACAATTTTGCCATTATTTACGAAAATTTAAGTGAGATGAGCAGTAATCCATCCGTGGATTAATTAAGTGCGAATCGTGATTGACATTGAAAATAGTTTCTAATTGTACAACTATGACGTAAGTGTAGGTACTTGATTAAAGTGTGAAGGAACAAGCGATTGCTAGGAAGTCCGAGCGAAGGAAAACCATAATCAACAATCATAAATTTAACTACTTTGTTATTTTTTTTAAGAGCTCGATATTAACGCACGTGTCTTGAAGATTATGTTGAGTACAGGATTACAGTTACAAAACAATGTTTGAATTGGGATCACTCGGTCACGTGTATGCCTTCCAGGAATTCATAAGCTATATAGGGCGAAATCCTACTTAGATTTTGGGGTGAGTAATTTTGTTAAATTCCTACCCCAACGGTAGCAAATGGATCACTACCTACTGGTATCATGGGGATAAGTAATACAAAGATGATGAACTGATTCCTAAATACAGGGCGTAAGAGACAATTATCGTCTGTTAAATCTACTACTCTGGAGCTTCAACGCGAATTTTTTGTCATCTTGAGCGTATCTCTATCTCGTACTCGCCTTTCGACACTCACCCGATCTAACGCATACTTAATATTTTCTTATCGCGCTCCCAACTTGCCCTCGCCACTTACCGTTGAAGCCGAAAGCATTTTTTTGTAATCTCTACCAGAATTATACGAAACGGATTCAATTCATCAGAAACCGATACGTGTAACCCATTAATTCTGCCTAAGTTTCCGTCAGACCGGCGCGTTCCGCTTCTTCACGCAATTACTCGACCATTGATTTAAAAACAATAAAGCGACCTAATTTATCGTTCAACCATTGACACAAAAAACAATAGAGCAATAAGATTGTAGATAAATATGCCCTCTAATGAAACCATATTTTATAATTATAATAATCAATACTAAAAGCCGCCCAACCCTAAAGAAATTCAACTCTAAACCTCCACCCTTTAACACTCTTTCCAAAATCTGATAAAAATCACGCCTACACCCTTGTGTTCTAATTAAAAATTTAAACAATTTTAAGAAAAATTGAATAAACCTAAATTTGCTCTCGGGCTCGCGTTACTTTTATGTACAATTAACAAGAATAATAAACACATACGGTTTTTGAACAAGAATTGAAGTGATAAACATTGGCAATGGACAACACGTTTTATTTGATGTTGAAAAATCAATAAGACACGGGATAAGTTTTTGTCTGTTTCTAACGACAATAATAAGTTATTTATTCTTTTTTTGACTTTTTCTGGAAATAACGAATTTTTTTCTAGCAATTAACAATACTTTCATCTTTTTCTGGCATCCATTACTGCTTAATTGACAGAAACAAGTGGAAAGTATGTATCACTGCCAAAAAATGTGGCAATTATGTATAACTTCCACAAAAAGTAGCAATTATGCACTTACAATTACTAGAAAAATGAAGCAATTATTTATAATTACAAGTAACAAAGGGCCAATTATAGACGATTTTGGTTGATGGGTCCTCTATGTACTCTTAGTACTGTTAGGTATATACGATTTGAATTCACTACCGGTGTGTTGTTCTATTGATACTCGCGAAAGAGCGCTCAACTGAAACTGTGGACAAAAACGCAGTATCTTTTTCGCAGTTTGTTTGCCAAATCGAAGGGCAGGCTATAAATTTGCAAGACTTGAAACTTGAATGGTGCTGCGTATCCTTTGGAACGATATTGCTTTGGTGTAGTGGGTAGGTAAGTTTCGTTGTTTCTTTACCTTAAGGTAGCCAAGATTCGTTACATACCTTCGTATACCTTCAGTTCTTAAAACAAAATTTATATATTTATCTATAACTAATTTTCTAAAATATTCAGCGTCTCAATGTATAGCACCATTTTTTTAAAAACAGGCACATGTTCTGAAAATGTCTTGAGATATATAATGAGATCAAAATAGACCGAAACTGGTTATTAAATATGATACAGTTGCGAAGAAAAATCTGTAAAATATACCTAAGAATTGAACAGTTCAAAAACAGACTAGTTTTTTAATTGGAAAGGAAAATGTCACTGTGATGTACTTGAATCACATTCTAGATCCAGATTGCAAATGTATGGCACTGTGAAACTAAGTCAATACATTTCGGTGAATGCTTAGTCATTTAACTGAGGAGCAAAAAATAAATGAATTATTCACTGGTTGAAATTTGAACGCGAATATACTGGTAAATACCTACCTGAGTTACTTATACATTTTTTAAGCACTCCAAATGATTTCAAGGTTATTTCATGAATTCATTATCTTACTGGCGGAAGAAGGCGTAATAAATTTTCGTTACTACTGTTTCGAATTTTCAAAGTCGAGGACATGGAAACGGCGCGTGTGAGAACATTTTTTATAATAAATTTATTAAGTAGTTAATTATTATATTACAGTCATAGTACTCATAGTGTAGTAATTCTTTACACTACAGTGTAACCGAAAAAAGATAAATTTCAATGGACAAGTGAACAGTACACAGAACAATTAACAATCTATGTATAAATTCTGCTGTTGTTTATATCACACTCCGTAACTAATTGACTCTCAATTAACACTGTTGTGTAAGGTAACAGATTTGTTTAGGTGTATTGAATTTGCAAATCTGTTCGGGTGCTTTCTCCAGAATTCCGCTGACTCGGCGATTAGTTAATAGAGCTCAACTGTTATTAACGTAAGTATCTCATTGTACATTCTGGAATGTTCTATATTGCCTGATGCGACAGTAAATTTGGACATGGAAGCCCTTGAAGATAATAAAACGGCAAGGGTTGTCGTTTGTAGTCACAATTAAACTGTGATTGTGGGGAATTGTGCGGAGTCGCAAAAACATGAATTTCATTATATTTATTCTTTTTTTTGCCAAAAGTTCACTTTTTTTCCTCAAGAAGGGGATCCTGATGCGTTATATTGACCAATTTTGTACACAATTCAAGAATTACTCACATTAACCTCGATTTTACCTATCAAGGTATTCTAATTAAAGGTCTCAACAAAAGTAACTATTTTCTACCAACTACCGCCCTTCTTTTTGACCAGTTATCAAAGGAGAGGGTGGGAGGGGGGGGGGGTCTGGGAACGAACCATAGTCCTCCTTCTCGACCTCTTATCGTGATAGGATATAATTCATACTATCTTAAGAACAGATTGTCGAAAAAGGGTACTCACAAAGAGCGATTGGGTTGGGACACCTGGAGGAAATATATCCGTTGGTGATGTCAAAACAATCTATCGAAATCGGTTCGTGGGAGGAGAGTACTCACAAAGGTAAAATGAATCGTCGGGGCGAGACATATCTATTGGTGAAGTTGAAGCGAATATCTTGAAACCAAAGTGTGGGAAGAGGGTATTCATAAAGGGCAAGTGGAACTTCAGGATGAAATATATCTATTGGCGACATCAAAACTTAATTGTGAATATCTCGAAAATGTTTGAGCAAGGTACCTACTATACAACCTAATACTATACTTTGTTTCACTGGTGCTGAACCTGACGTCATAAATGTGATTCTCTCTTCATTACATTTAAATCGATTGAGACAAAAAAATTACGTCATCAACGTAAGTCGTGACAAATAAACCAATTGATCTGTCAATATCAATCCGTCAAACGATGTTCGTTATAGACAGATTTCCAGTGTTAAATGCCTTTTGATTAGGTAGTTTGTGTTAAAAGTGAAGTGTGAAGTAAATATCATCAGTTAAAGTTAAAAACGCTTAGGCAAGTCGACAGTGTAGTACCTAACGCCGTTAATAGACAAGTATTTTAAAAATTTTAAATAATGGTTCGATTCGCCCATATCATGAATTTAGGTCATTCCCGTTACCATTAGCAAAGAGTAACTATAATTATGGATACTCTTTGCCATTAGGTAAATATGATGCACCGATACACAGAAGGTGAGTACACAAAACGAAACTTCACTCTTTCCATTGGTTTTAGATGAAACATTATAAACCAGGCCTGGGAACGGGAACAATATATTGATACATCAGACATCTTACCGGTGATTGTCAACTTGGACGAATCTGATAGTGAAGAAGATTATTATGAGGATTAGATTCAAGAGGCAGAAGAGAATGAGCGTCTTTATAAGAATATTATTTTGGGCCGTTTATACATATATCCTTGTGGTGTAGTGTCCTTTTGTACATACGATTTGAATATGAACATTTGAGAGTTTTTTCAGGAATAAATATCTTCACTACCTGTTTTCTCTCACAATTGCGTTTTTTTTAAATAAATCGGATCAGAAGATACTCAAAATCCTTATGCGAATATCTTGAGTGTGTGGCAAAAGAACAGAAACTGTATGTATGCTTTGTTATTTCAATGAGCCTTTATCTCAAATTGGTAAGATATATAAATGCGAAAGGCTTACCGATAAACCATGGCCTATTCTACTTCTGCAAATGACTAGTTAAGGGTCATTAAAATTCGCGCAACCTAACGCGTATCCTTCACATTGGTAGTTTACTTAATTTCACCTCAACATTATGTAAACAAAATATTAATTTACGAACTGCCTAAACAAACTTTAAGTTACAAATGTTCCTATGCGTTTTCTGTAACCATCATACACTTCATCTCAAAGAGTTTCTGATGCTCTGGCAGTATTCATTTGGACTGTCGGTGCAAAGAATCGGTTACATGAGGTGATTACAAACGGTGAAAAAAGTTTAATTCATACCAACGGATTTCCTCTACATAAAATACATGACCATTTAGCCATTACAAAACCTGGGAACAGGAAAAAACCTATCAGGATAATAATGACCGATAGTGACACATTAATAAATAAGTTGAAACGTCAATGTGACAATAAATGTCAACCAACTACTAATTTACGACCTGCCTTAATTTTGCTATGACGTCAGATAGTGTGACGAAAGGTTCAGGACCCGTGAAACAAAGTATAGTTAAGTATGGTGCTTGGCTTAATTGCTGGATTAAAAATTCTAGATGTTTTGCTACTAAGACAGAAAAACAAAGTCGCTCATAAAAATTGTGATAAGTAGATAAGCAAAGACGCGAATCCATATAAGAGCCTTATGAAATGTTAGTCGAAGCTTATATTTCCGATTATATCTGAACTCTTAAAACATCAACTGGTACGATAAATTTAAACAAGATACGCAGAATCGCAGACTATTTTTAGTGGGGGAACTTTTTGACACTGTAACTGCGCCTGAAAAAATTTGGTTTTGAATTTGTATTTTGTTAAACATAGGGAATTTACACATATACCGCTGCATAGCAGACTTGAACGAAAGTATGTCTGGTGATAACAAGCGATAACAAGAAACGTATTGGGGAAGCGAGCACAGTTGCCACGATCTCTTCG